TACTGAGACTTTGATGTTATGTGGTTTTTGTTTCCGATAAAGTTGGCAACACTGCATTCGGGGCCATGGTGTTGGGAGCAGAACGCGTGCGTATTTGTCTCAGTCAGTTGAGAACTGTTGTTGTAGTGGCGTGTTGAAATCAGTGCCGCTATTCCGAATCCCGCCAGCTGCGAGGTGAGGAGCATAATCCGGTTCCTTCTTGCAAAGGAAAAGTCGCCATTCCAGATTTTTAACGAAATCAAGACTGTTTAAGGGGATGGTGTGATATTTGGTGTGATGAATCGTACTAATGTGTACAAGTGGTGTACATGTCCATGATAAACAAGAAAGTGGGCGTCCCACAATCGTGACTGATTAGAAAACCATTAGAAAAAAATCAAAACAGTTGCTTTGGGACCATAAAGAGATATTCCTCATTGACTTTTTGCCCTAGTGGGGAAACAATTAATCCTGCACAGTACTGTGAAAACACTACGGAGGACGATACAAAACAAAAGAAGGGGAATGTTCACGAAGCGAGTGTGCTTGTTGCATGACAGTGCACGACCCCACACAGCCAACGTGGCATTGGATTCATTCGGTTGGAATATCATCAACCACCCCGATCACAGGCCTGACCTTCACCTTCTGATTTTCATATTTTCTCTTCTCTGAAGGAAACAACAAGAGGAAAAAACAAGCAATTTATTGTCACCATAGCCTTCTCAATCACATTTTGCCCGTATAGAGTGCGCTGCGAATTGCATACGATACTTCTGTTTATACCATGTAAAAGGTACCATTTTTGCCTTCAAATTTTATTAAAATAAGTTTTCTCTATCTCTTAAAATAAAAGAGTTAAACAGCCCTTAACTTTTGGTACCTACTACTTTTCCTGTTTTTTAAGATAAGGTACTCATAAAGTTGGCCATAAATCTCAAATTTGTTTTCCCGAGCATAAAGGCCCCCAAAAATATAACAAAAAATCAAAAAATTAAATATTTTAGTAGAGTAGACAGCCTTGATACTTGACACAGTTTTAAAATTCTTTACCAATTACTATTACTTCCAAAAAATCGTAGAATTAAGAAGACTTTTTAGTAAAAATCAATGTTCAGTTTGACATTGAATATGAAATATTGAAATACGTGCCTAAGTAATAAAATTTCATTACAGAGAACATATATAATCGGTGAAGAACAGTCGAAGAGCGTAATCCTTTCTAGGAACGCATCGAAGAATGCCAATGGCTGCTTAAAAAGAACCGACTGCTTCAGAACCGATTTTTCTTACAGCGCCTTGCAGTGCTTTTGTTTACAGACTTTCCTACCTCTGACATGTCCTTTACGACTTCCTGTGCCAAGCACATATTAATTTAATAAATTAATTCATTTTTACGTTCACATTTCTCGGGATTCATATAAGAAACGCAACGGTCCAAGGTCGTGGTAACCTCAAAGCGATCCGAGTTATTTTAAAATTGTAATTCGCAATTAACAAAACAACTCGCTCCGTGGAAAAACAAAGAAATACTGTATTTAATTTTCGCCATGCACTATGACAAATAAGTAAATATATTACTCACGTCAAAGGAATGCGTCAACTAAAACAGCTTCTGGATATAATGAGGCAAAACGTAGAGATAACGAAAAACTTGGAAACAGTTAATTGCATAATACAATGTAAATAGAGAGAAGTATTTTTTAAACAATATATCGGATTCTGTGACAAATTGAAAAAGAGAAATAAACAGTAGCGATGTGATGACATAACGGTAGAATAAATTCAAGTGCATTTGATAGGCAGCTGTGGAAATTTTAATTTAACAGTTTGTATTGGACACGTGAAAACAATGTCGAAAAACAAAAGCGAACTACCTCTGTTCCAAGCCTGCTTTGGCGACCATAATGAATACATGCCACTGTTTTATTGATATATACATACATATATCTAAATTTTGTTTAATCCTACCTTAAGTACTATTGAAAAAATAAAAAGATCCAGAACGAGATAAAATCAAAATTAAGTGCAACGGGTGCATTACAATTTAAATTTACACTCGAAATTTTCCTTATTTTGCAACGATTTTTGGAATTTCATGAGAACTACTCAAAATTTCCCATGATTTCCTAGAGATTTCCACAGATTTCTCTGATGAGATTATCAGAGAAGCCACTAGATTTCCTCTGCAATCTTTGACGTAGTGTAAATTCAAGAATTTAAGGGTATTAAATGCAAAATTGAGAACAATTATTATATCAACCAGTAGCGGAAATACTGAGTGACTGTCACAACAACCCCGGAATGTCGTTGCCTCTTGATTGTTTTGAAAATTCGATCAGTTCATTTGGTGCATTTCGTATTTCAAAAAAGAAATGCTTGAATATTTAATTTTTGTCAAACGAAAAAGTTGTAGCAAACAATAATTTGAGGGATGCTTATTTCAATGTCGTCGAAGGGGCCGAAATTTTCAAAAAATTATGCATTATGAAAATCTATGTAAATTTGACTATTATACCTTTTTTGGTTTCAAATTACAACCGCTATTCCACATTTTTTTGGAAACTTTGAAAGGCTCTAAGAGGCGAACAATTTACTAAGGTCATTTTTATGCAAAATGTGTTATTTTTAGCTGTACTACTTTTGTGCTACTTCTTTTCAAAACACCTTGTATATCAGTCGTATACCCGCAACACCCTTCACCGCCTACTTGATAATCATATTAGGGGGTGACGTCAGATGAGAACCGCACGGTACACCTTGGTCGCGTTCTCAAAACATGAATCGCCTGGAAACCATGGGCGTACCACTGTTCCACTGTCATACCGAAAAATAGCCGTGCGACGTTTCAATTATCGCAGTCGTCAAGAATTTCACAGGGATTTGCGGATTTCTCCCCAATGCGAAGGCTTTTCCTCCAACAACAAAGACAAATGAAGACGATTACAATTTAGGTCAAGTTGATTTATCGCGATTGGGACAAAAATCAAAATGCTTCGTACTTAGGAAGTAGGCAATGAAAGAACGTTTAGGTTAAAGTTTTTTTATTCCTCACTCAGGTTTAAAACGAATGGTACTCAATGTTTTTTTTTACGTACAATCAACACGGAAAGGAATGCGAAACAAAATATGTGTAAAATTGAAATAAGTAGAAATTGAGTTTTAAATCTCGTTATTATACTAATACGACATTGTGTTAATTAAACTGATGAGCGTATTCAAGTTACAACCAGTGCGTCTCCTGACTATACGGGTACCGGGTACCTTCATTCAATAAGTCTCATTCATTATATTTTCAGTACAAAATTCTTTACTTACGGGTCTTTGTTCTAAAGCATTATTTGACACGCATGATTATATTACAATACAAGGGATAAGATAGAGGTATTAATGATATGTATTTTTGTTATTTAAAGTGAAAATAAACGTACCTAGCATCTATAAAATGTTAACAATTTAATTCGTACAAGCTGCAAATTAGGAGTCTACAAATTCCCAATCTGATAAATCTGGCAATTCATTTAAAAAACAACACACATATACAATACGGGAATGTTTGATAAAAAAATTTGTAAAACATACTTCAATTTTATACTGCATTTACCTAAACTACTTCAAAACATACGAAAATTATGCATACATAATTTTTTTTGTATTATTCAAAGAAATTTGTCAAAAAAAATATTTATTATACAGGACATTGACTGAAACTTCAGCCAATCAGATACCTATTAAGTAAGATTATTACAATTTGATTTAAAGCTGAATAAAAGTGACATTTGATTATTAAATTTTGGATAAAAATAAAAATGGCACCTACAATAACGTCCAATATTTAATAATAATAATTGATTTACCTTTGGATAAATAGTAAAAGATGTTCATTTCTCTATGTAGCTACTTAATCCGAGACGTAGACTTAAATTTATTGTGTCAATCTTCGCAGATACATTAACTTAATATTTATACTAATCTAAATACAAAATTAAAAGAATATATATTTTTAAAATAATTGTTCCATATACGATAAGACACAGAGAAAAAATCATAGTCATAAATACCTACCTAATTAATAATTACGGAAACACAATCAGTTTTATCTAGAAATAATAACTAAGTATGCGATTAACACTGTATGTTAACATTTTGTTTGATTAATGATTAGACAATTACGACATTTATTTACTAAGTAACTGTGGGTACCTATTTAAATATTATACCTAATCCTAAATAAAAAAAATAGGAGAAAATTGTACAAATCGGAATAATCAGATAAGGACTTGTGATTAAATGCAATGTTACTTTTATGAAAGCACATTCCTATTTGGAATTTACTTAACAACTTCTAGTACAACATACCCATTGAAGGGGTCATACATTCATTGTGACTCAACGATTCAAGAAGAATTGAAATACCATGTAGTGCGAAATTAAATACCTGATAATGAATGTATAGGTATCTCCACCTATGCAAATTATGAATAATGCACAATTGACTAACTTGTACCTACTGGTTATGGCATCCGAAATGTCGTTGAAGAAAAAAGACGTGGAATTTGTGTCTATGCAAATGTAATGAATAGGTACATAAAACATATCTACGATTACACGTCGTGTAAATGTTTATGGCTATTGTTTATTGTGTGGACGGATTAACATTCAAACTGCGTGATACACATCGCCAGTAAGGTAAATTAATATTCTTCAGACCGCTAACATTCCTGAAGAATTGTACATACATGATACATGCCCGGCAACACACGATTTTGTGAGATGACAAAATCCTCATCACCAATCTTGACCTAAACCGGACATTTAAAACTCGCGTGTATGTTTCCACCGTGTGAACATGGCTTTTACCTGTTCATTACTTTTCAACAGTTTTAAAACTTCATAAGATGTATTGCAATTTAACTCAAATACTAAACAGACACGCGTATAAGCTGAAACTAGCATTTCTAAGTGAATAAACATAAAAACGAGAGTGCTGACCCTTCCTAGCAGGTTAAAATAAATCTTACCTGTTGTTTATCCAATACTGGTAAAAATTGCACTCACAGACACAAACATTTATATTATAGGCACGAAATTATTGCTTATTTTGTGTTTTACTTGCACTTCACTCACTCCTAACTTTGTCATACATCTTTACATGTTTTTGCACTTTTTGTCACTATTTTCAATTGAATTTCGTAAGTATGCGTAAAATTTTTGTGCTTCTACGCAAGGTGTGTTCCGCTACACTCCGACCGCTACTCGCAAACAACGAAGGAAAGGTATGTCATGTCCTGAACTTTTTTCTAACGCGCACTACCTTCGCGCACTGTCAAAATTTCAATTCAACTCGCAACTCGCATCTCGCATCACCGTCACATTGAACTAATCTCGATTCTCCCGCCTGTTTCTATGTTTAGGATTGTTTAGTTGGTTGTCGTTTCGTTGTTCATCTCTTATATATTCGCAATAAATAAAATGCTTACCTGACACTATTACACCAGAAAACCGTTTGGTAGAGTTACAGTTCCTAAAACGGATGTTAAAATTAGTTTAGGTAAACCAAAACACTAACGTGTATTTTAGCACTGCTACTGAACAATATTTTTGTTTGTTTTCCCCAGAATTTCCTGCACCTTTAAGTAATGGAAACAAACGAAGAAATAGACGTACTGGACCAAGAAGAAGAAATAAACATTTACGACGATATTTGTAATTTCGATTTGGGAGAAGAAATAGAAAGAGTAAGTAAATATTCTGTGAGGTTATATTTATATTTAACCTAGAATTTTTAGCTTAAAGCTGAAAATAAGAAACTAGAGGAACATATTTGCTCCCTCAAAGCAGATATAGATAGGTTAAATGGTACGATAGCAGAACTAAAAGTAACACAAAATAATTTGACGAAAAACATTTCTTCTTTATTCATGACGGCCAAGACGGAGATTGAAAGAAAAAATCGAATGATAGAGGAATTGAGAGAAAAGGTTGAAAATAGAGGATTAAGAAGTTTTAAACCTGATTTCAAGAAGCGAAAGGATAGGGAAAATAGTCCATCAGAAGCTAATAAATCAAAGAGATATAAATATGACGAAAGCACAACAAGATGTGAAGTGCAGGGAGTGCCATATAACGACAAGCTAGAGCCTGAACCTGATGAGAGACAGGAATTACAATCTAAATATTCCAATAGGCAAAGGCCTGTAGATGACAGTAGGTACCAACAAAGATTCAAATATCCTTACAATAAGTACAGTAATCAGTTTGAAAATAACAAGTACGATTCTAAACTTAGATATTCAAATGAAACATACACTGAAAGCAATAAATTTGAATTCAAAAATAAACATTATAATGATCGATACAATAATTACGAAGATGATGGATATCATTCGAGGTCTACATATTCTTATGACAGATATCGAAATGAAATGGAAGAGAGGTATGACTCTCGATCACAATATTGCAATGACAGTTATAACAATTGGACAAATAATCGCATTGATGGTGATGGTACGTATGACAACAGAGATTATTATAATCGAAGTTCAAGAAGCAACGTTGAAGACAGAGATGGTGGACAAGAAAGATTTGACACATATGCTGATAATAGAAGAAATGATCAATGTGACTCCAGTTATTATAGGAATGAGCGGAATAGAAGTTTTGAAAGGTAGGTAAAATTTTAGTTTTTTATCTTAGTTAAGTATGACTAGTCATTTTCATTATCAGCTGGTTGTCTACAGTATGTCTATAATGATTTCTAAGAAAAGTATGAAAATTTTCATCTAACCTTACTTTTCATTTTCAAAATTAAAGAATTTTAGCATTAATTCAATGGTACAAAATTAATAAATACCTATACTCGACGGCCAAAATTATAGATAGTGATTCATCGCTAGCTCTTGGACTAGTAAGGGGGATGAAGCATGCCGGGAACGAAAATCCATTGGCGTGTCTGCGTAAAAGGCAACAAGATATAGAAAATATTGAAAAAACATAATAAAACATAACATCTAATATTTTTTACGGTTTGCTATAACCGGCACTTTGATCAATTTTAATTATTACAGCATTTTAAAACGTCCCAGTTGTGTTTTTTTAATTTATAAATTTATTATAGCCATGGAATTAGACCCCTCGTCTACGCTTATGCTATGACGTTTCTCAGGTCGGGCAAATCAAGTCCGTTTACACCCACTAAAAAAGCATTTNTATTAAAAGAAAAATTGATAATACTGTGGAACACCATATGAAGGAAAGGATATCAAAACTATTTTGCAGCCCTCTGAAATTAAATAATGAAAAATGTAAAATGACAAATGAATGTGTTTCAAAGGAACCTAAACAGAAGTGTTCAAAGATATCTAACGCCGAAACGGAGCAGAAATCTAATGTCAAAGAATCATCTGTAAAACGTGTAGAGAAAGATGTACAAAGGACTACAAATAATGAACAACATATGAAGGAAATGATATCAAAACTATTTCACAGCCCTCTGAAATTAAATGATGAAATACCTAAAATGACAAATGAATGTGTTTCAAAGGAACCTAAACAGAAGTGTTTAAAGATATCTAACGCCGAAACGGAGCAGAAATCTATTGTCCAAGAATCATCTGTAAATAAGCTGAAGGACCTACCTAAACTAGACAATTTTTTGATTTAATGTTTCATATTTAAACCTGCCAAACGTGTTAAAAGTTCATAAAGTAGAAAATGTAATGAAAAGACACATTAATTACCAGGTGGTTCAGGTACCCTTAAGGTAAATTTGCTATTTAAAATTTTGAAAATAAATAGGAAAGTCCTGAAACATCGTAAAAAAACTAAAAACATGGCTTTTCTTATTTTTCCTTATACTTCTGTGAGTTTGAAGATTCAACAATTTTCTAACTCCAGGACCACAAGATCCTCAGGTTTTCATAACCAATTTTTGATTTTCTTATGGGTGCCATATTAGATCTCTCACTCTTGCATGACAAATAATATTATGAGTTCAGCGATGTATCATCAGATCTACAGAACCAGAGGGTTTGTCTAATTGTCAACATGCCCACAATTTTTGGGAGAAATTAGGCTCTACGCAACTAAGAGGCAGAATGGTTAATGCCGTCAGATCTAAGAAAGGGTGCCTCAAAGAAAGGCAATTTGTTGCTTAAACTGTTATAGAACCATAAAAATAATAATCGTAATAAATAATGACTATAAACGAATAATTTGTTAGATCTGAGGGCATTGCAATGCCCCTGGATCCTCATGGCCTACAAATGTCAAAATTTGTGGGCAAGTGTCAGCCCTTACTTTGATAGCGCAGTTTACAAAATCAATGGATGTATCATGTCAGTATCAAATGATTTTGTTAGTAGTTGTCAAAAAATATTCATTTTACACTTAATTTAATCACAGTTGCCATGAAAATTTTCTTCCAACAGCTAGAACGTAACTACTTACTAGACTCATATAACCGCTACTACACCGCTGTTCATTATTTACGTTTCTATCCTGGAGAAAAATAAAGACAAATTTTTTAGAAGTAATTGTAATTCTGTAATTCATTGTAATCCTTTAGACTCACATTAGGTTGGACACATTTGTTTGTCTATGTACACATCAAATTTACAGTAATAAAAAAATATATTGAAGAAATAAGAAAGGTCAAGTTTTTTGGTTTTCTGAGGTATTTCAGTAATGATTCAACTTATCTCCAATTCTTTTCGTACTCTTGGCATGAAAATGAGCAACTTTTTAGTAACTTAACTTAAATCAATACATCTTGTAGTTTAGGAGATCCTAATGGGGTGGACACCCTAACAGTGATCACCTTATATAATTCTGTACCTCAGAGCTAAACTGTATTAACTCAATTTTTTACGAAAATGGGATTATTTGACAGCCCAACACAGTTTCTTATGCTCTTTCACATGCTAAGCAGTAATAACTCCCACTCATGATACTTTCGAAGATAGACAGTGCTAAATAATAATAAGTTCCAACCTGTCTCCAAGCTAGACAATCGTATGTGTATTTAATATTAACCATGTTTCATTTCCACAGTATTAAGTTCCTTGTTACATCAATCAATTTAGTCCGAGACAAAGTGTATGCGGAGTTAATATTCTATTGGTTTGACTTCGGAGTATTAACTCCACACATATGAAAATCATGTTGGTTTACTTTAGTATTATATCCACATTCATCGTGTATTATCGCACAATTAGTAAATATTATAATATAAAATCCCTGAATCATGTTTGTGCCAAATAGTGTTAACTCCATTTTTTCGAAAAAAAAATACGAATAGAAAATTATTCTTTAAATTACAATAAATAATATTAAAATAGACGTATAACTTCACATCATACAAATTCTTTTTATCAAGGACAAGTAAGAGTTCGAAGTTATGAAATGATAAGCAAAATTTAAATCTTTAAATCTCTCTCCTGTAAAATTTCATTTTTGGCACTTAATACAGTATAGCTCTGAGGTACAAAATTAGTAAATTGAAGCTGTAAAGCTGGTGTCTAAAAAAACATAGGATATTTTTTATCACGTTCTAACTATTATGCTTTCTTCAGACCAGGTCGTTCGAGGTCTGGTACACCCTTTACACCATTTGCTTCTGATGTCAGGGAAGACACATCTCAGAATATAGAACGGGATGCATCAAATGTTGCAGTAAATTCAGAAACAAATCCAGAGAGAGAAAGATCCCTCACTCCAATGCCCCTTCCAGAAGACATTGATGAGCCTAATCCAAAACCTCCCAAAAAACGCCTGAAAATGTTAGAAGACATGGAAAAAAAAGTTAGACAAAATAGACTATCACAGACTACTAGGTTATCTGATCAATGTGCAACTAATAAGCCGTCAGATATCAACAAACATAATCATGCATGGAGCTACGACATTGATAGAAATTCCGTAACGAGCAGTAAATCTACCAAAAGCAGTAAAAGCGATAGAGAATCTCAAGGAAGTGCACAGAGAAAAGAAGCTAATCTAGTTAAAGAAAAAGTTTCAGTCAAAAACAAAACAGGAAGCAGTAAAGAAAAGTTCAGTCCTAGGAATTATGATATTCATCCAAAGAAAGATATTAAGCAATCGCCTAAGAAGGAAACTACAAATATTAAAAGAAAAATTGATAATACTGTGGAACACCATATGAAGGAAAGGATATCAAAACTATTTTGCAGCCCTCTGAAATTAAATAATGAAAAATGTAAAATGACAAATGAATGTGTTTCAAAGGAACCTAAACAGAAGTGTTCAAAGATATCTAACGCCGAAACGGAGCAGAAATCTAATGTCAAAGAATCATCTGTAAAACGTGTAGAGAAAGATGTACAAAGGACTACAAATAATGAACAACATATGAAGGAAATGATATCAAAACTATTTCACAGCCCTCTGAAATTAAATGATGAAATACCTAAAATGACAAATGAATGTGTTTCAAAGGAACCTAAACAGAAGTGTTTAAAGATATCTAACGCCGAAACGGAGCAGAAATCTATTGTCCAAGAATCATCTGTAAAACGTGTAGAGAAAGATGTACAAATGACTGCAAATAATGGGTCCCAAAAACATACACAAAAAGAAATAAGATCATCTACAAAAAATTCCCCAGAGACGTTATCTGTACACCGGAACCAACCTGAAGATAAAATCTTGAAAAAGCCAAGTCAAATTGTGAAAATTAGTCCAGGCAATAATCTTTCCAACAAACGGGATAAAAAACGTGAAGATAAAATTGAAGAAACGAAAAATCAAGAAAACACTGACATAGCAAAGGACTTTGAAAACGTTGGAAAACCTTCAGAAAATGTAAATAAAAGCACAAAAGCTGCCACAAATGAAGAAATCCTTCAAAAGCGTAGGAATACACCACACTCCTTTGAGGAATCTTGTAATTCTGAAAAACCAAGTGAAGATGGTAAAGAAAATATTAGAAAGCAAAGTGTTGATAAGGACTTAAACATGGATAAAGTTGATGGCCAGGGAAAAACAGAGGAAAAGGTTGTTGCAAAAGCGGTAATGCCCGAAGAATTGAAAACTACAGAAGAATCTATAAAATATAGTCAAAGACACAATATTCGTAGCTTTAAAGAGAGAGTTGTTGCTTCTAAAGATGGGACAACTGAGAGTGAGCAGAAAGATAAAAATGTTGAAGAAGGTAAAGAAAATATTGGAAAGCAAAGTGTTGATAAGGGATTAAACATGGATAATGTTGATGGCCAGGGAAAGATGGAGGAAAAGGTTGTTGCAAAAGTGGCAATGCACATTGAATTAAAAACTACAGAAGAATCTGAAAAATATAGTCAAAGACACAGTACTCGAAGTTCTAAAGAGAGAGTTGATGCTTCTAAGGATGGGACAACTGAAAGTGAGCAGAAAGATAAAAATGTTGAAGAAGGTAAAGAAAATATTAGAAAGAAAAGTGTTGATAAGGGACTAAACAAGGATAATGTTGATGGCCAGGGAAAAACAGAGGAAAAGGTTGTTGCAAAAGCAGTAATGCCCAAAGAATTGAAGACTACAGAAGAATCTGTAAAATATAGTCAAAGACACAGTATTCGAAGTTCTAAAGAGAGAGTTGCTGCTTCTAAAGATGGGACAATTGATAGTGAGCAGAAAGATAAAAATGTTGAAGAAGGCAAAGCAACTATTAGAAAGCAAAGTGTTGATAAGGAATTAAACATGGATAATGTTGATGGCCAGGGAAAAACAGAGGAAAAGGTTGTTGCAAATGCGGTAATGCCCAAAGAATTGAAAACTACAGAAGAATCTGTAAAATATAGTCAAAGACACAGTATTCGAAGTTCTAAAGAGACAGTTGCTGCTTCTAAAGATGGGACAACTGAAAGTGAGCAGAAAGATAAAAATGTTGGAGAAGGTAAAGAAAATATTAGAAAGCAAAGTGTTGATAAGGGATTACACAAGGATAATGGTGATGGCCAGGGAAAAATAGAGGAAAAGGTTATCGTAAAAGTGGCAATGAAAACTACAGAAGAATCTGTAAAACACAGTATTCAAAGTTCTAGAGAGAAAGTTGTTGCTTTTAAGGAAGGGACAACTGAAAGTGAGCAGAAAGATAAAAATGCTGAAGAAACTACAAGACGAAATAATAAAAAAGTCGAAAAACAAGACGTAAAAGATACAGATAAAGAACAAAAACAGAAAGAAATTATAAAATGGCCTTCAAAAATGGATAAACCAAATAATAAAACTATGATAGATGAAAAAAGACAAAATAAAGATGATATAAAACAAGCTAGTGATTTGAAAGGCAAAGGATCTAATAAACCATCAAGACAACCTACAGCTGATGCTAAACCAAAAGCTGCCAAGCAAGAAGTAACGAAAGAAGATAGGAGAAAAGATAAAAGTCCCATTAGCAAGAAAGACGTCAAAGACAAGGATACCAAAATAGATCAGTTTAAAAAAGAATATAATCAATTAATTGAAAATCTGTTTGTTGAAAGTGAAAGAAAAGAAGGTTTGAAGGAGAATTTAGAAGGGTATACTATTAAAGGCACAAACAAACAACTTGAAACTAATAAAAATAAAGATGTGCAATCAGAACACAACATTGAACTTGCTCAAAAAAATGCAAAACGAAAACGGAAGAAATCAGATTCTGCAGATCAATATAGCAATATCAAAAACAAAGATGAAAATCCAGTAGAACATTTTACAAAAAAAGAGAAGAAAAGAGAAGGTATCATTTCCAAGGGTGATGAAATAAGAAAAATAAAAGAAAGTGAACCTAGTCTCAAACAAAAAAAGGGAGAACATTCAATGGGTTCCATGGTAAAACAGTCTCCTAAAGATATTGCTCTCAAGCAAGACGTAGATACTGACGTACCCATCCAGACAGATGAGAAGGTTATAGAACAATGTATGGCAGTATCCTCAAAGGAGGTTATTCAGAAACAAGCTGAAAAAAGACCTATGGAAATCTTTGATGATAAGCCTCACGTTGCAAAACAAGATTTGACAGATGATAAAAATACGAAGCATGAAGAAAGTATTAAAATGAAAAAATCTGTCGAGACTGCCACATCGAACAAAAACATACATAAAAATGAAGATAATGGTACAAATACAAACCAAGTCGGACAAAGAAAACGTGTAAGCGATGTTAGAAGAAGGATTAGGTTTGCTGATAAAGGACCAGAAGATCAAAATGGCCACAATAAGGTACCTATAAAGAAGAATAATATATGTAAGAAGATTACTGAGGTTGACCAAGTTGTATTAGAAGAATCTGAAAAAGAACAACAGAACAATTCAGATGGAATAAATGTTACAACAATAAAGACTGATGACTCGGCAGATAAAAATAAAAAAGAAGCACAAAATAGTAAAAATAAAAATCCGACGGATTCTCCTAAACAAGAACTATTGACAGAAGTTGTAACCCACACAAGCGTGTCAACAACTTCTAGCAGTACAGACTCCGAAACTGATTCAGAGGAAGAATCGTCTGATGACATTTTTAGCTCAATTAAGACTGTTAATAAACTTATAGAGATAAAAGATGTCGAGCAGGAAAGAAGTAAGCAAATAGAATCTGTTATAAGTTTGTCCGATTCCTCCACAAGTGATGATACAGTTGTAATGAGCTATGTCAACGATTCGAAAACAATCGAAAAAAAATTCGATGATTTAGTGTCTCGTTATATGGAAAATTTTACAACAGAAAATATAAGCGATAATCCAGAGAAAGTACTACACACAGTTATAGATTATAGTCAACCTGCTCCAAATACAGATAATACAGGAGTAGAAGTTAAAAATCAAGCAAATCATTTGTCAAAGGAAAACGTAGATAAAACGTCAGAACCAAAAATAAAAGTACTGGAAGTGATAAATATTGTCAATGTTCATAAAAAAATAGAACTTTTTAAGTCTTCTAATAATGAAGAGGTCACAATGGTAAAGTCAAAAGAATGTAATACCGAGAAGCCAGTGACAACATGCAGTAATTCAAGCAATCCCGCAAATCAAAATATTAGTCCTAGGTCTGCAAGAAGGAGAATAACCCCTACTCCCGTCAAAGATAACAAACCTCTGTGCAGTTTTGAGAATATCCTTACGAAAACTTCCCAGCCTGACCCATTCACGGTTTCTTTGCAAAGTATCAGTTCGCCCCTACAACTCACACATGAAGGGGAAATACCCATCCTACATTTAGAGGAAAATCACATCAACGACTTACCGACGGAGGTGAATATCAACGATAAGAATATAATGAATCTATTGGACTCGATGAACATTTCTAACATAGAGTGTGACATTCCCAAGTTTAAAAGCTTTAGTGCCGAGGCTGCAGCAAATTCTGAAGCAACAAATGCAATTGGTGGCAGCGGCTGTGGTTTAACTTTCGAAAATAAAATAGAACAGACTACATCTACGCCGATTAAGAGTCAAGTAACGAAAAGTGGTGTTAGTAATGTTCCAAATTGCGGTGGTGCAAGTACTTCTAATGCCAGTTCCAATACGCAGGCTGGGGCTGCGCCATCAACAATTCGGAGGAGGAGAAGACGGTGTTGGATGATTGTAAAAGACTAATGGTTTTTATTTTTTGTAAATACTTTTGTATATAGATGTAAAAACTTGTTACCGATGCATAGATTTTTATATTTATTTTTTTAGTTAAGCGAAACCACAGTTTGGGAAGTCTTGTTCTAAATTTTATACTTAATAGGATTATATTATATATTTTAAATATTTTTACACTTGGCATGTTCAATTTGATTAAAACTTTTTAGTCCAGGTGGTATCTGTTTTAAAAAGGGTATACTTGGGTAAAAACGCGTATGATCGGAGATTTTTGCTTTAACGGCTTCTAAATAACATCAGAAATGATAATTTTTCTATGCAAATAAAAAAAAACGTGGGCTTAATTGTTATTGCAAAAAAGTTAAAAAAATTGCAAAAAATGTATTTTTTTTTTTTAATTTCTCGTCGACAACTTAGCAACTATTCATTTTAGACAAAAATGGAAGAGGAAAAAATGTTTTTAAATTAAATTTTGGTCAAGATAGAGTTAGTTGCAATTCGAAAAAGTAATTATTGTTATTGCAAAAATCAGAAAAATCATTTAAAAAATTCCAAAAAATGCTAGTTTATTTGTCAATTTTTCTCAGGACACTTGAATAATACCTAGGATCTTCATACTTTTCCCAATTAAACTTCTTAATGCATATCACACCGTGGTTTTTGAAAAATTCAAATTAGACGATTAGGTGAGCCGTGGTAATTGTTTAAACATTTTCACAATTTTCACGCTTATAAACAATTGCAATAATTTATTGTTTTTTCAAATTTTTTTTATTTTAAAATATGGTTTGAAAGTATTCGGAAAGACGAGTATTTTGAAAAAAAAAAAAACCTGATCCGCTCATTATTTTCGGAGTTGTAGCCCGTTAAAGTTAACCCTTATTTACAGCAAAACTATAAGGGTATAAGGGCTGTTTTTTGAACTAATAGGTTTGTCAGTTCGAGTACTTTCCGGATATAAATTTTCAAAATTTGCAATCACGGGCGTCCCATTTAAAATGTCACACTGAATTAGGTATTATGTAAAAACTATTGAACCGAATTGGATGAAATTTGGTGTGATGATTCTATGCACTAAGAAATTTAATTGGGAAAAGTATGAAGATCCTATTAGGTATTATTCAAGTGTCTGAGAAAAATTGACAAATAAAATTTTTTTGAATTTTGCAATAACAATAATTACTTTCTCGAATTGCAACTAACTCTATCTTGATCAAAATTTAATTACAAAACTTTTTTCCTCTTCCATTTTTGTCGAAAATGAATAGTTGCTAAGTTGTCGACGAGAAATCCATGAAAAAAATGAATTTTTTTGCAATTTTTTTATACTTTTTGCAATAACGATCAAGCCCATGTTTTTTTTTATTTGCATAGAAATATTATCATTTCTGATGTTACTTAGAAGCCGTTAAAGCAAAAATCACCGATCATATGCGTTTTACCCAACCCGAAACAGATACCGCCTGGACTATCGATTTGGTAAGGTAACTTACCGTTTTTTAGAGGTCTAAATGAAAGGTAGACTTTTTTACCTTTATATAAGATTTTTTTAAACTAATATTTTTTATACATACTGTTTGTATCTTCATATGTAGTTCTAAAAGGAAATTGTAGCCAAAGCTAAAGACTGTGAGTCGTAAATTAAGTTCTATGGTTTACACCCTTGTTTTATTTTAGAAACTACATACAGGTTGAGCCACCAGTAATGCCTCGATCGCTAGGGGCCGAACGGCAAATGTTACAGGAACCTGTTTAGGTGGCTATGTGTAGGTTGACTACGGCTACATTTTAAAAATATTTTGAAATATACAGGGTGTCCAGGAAAAGCGTATATCAAAATTATGTATTTTTAAATGGAACGCCCTATATTTTACTGCATTTTTTAAAGCACCGTAAAAAAATAGGTGAACTTTCTTAAAGGTTCTCCATACTTAGGACTTACAGTTTATGAGATATTTCAATTTTAGTGAAAATGCAGGCTTAGCGTAGAAATTTAATATTTGCAATAAAAAAATAATTTTATGGAAGCAGCTTTGGAGAGTGTATTTTAGATCCTTGAAGTTATAAATTATTATACTTGTCGTCACTTAGTATTATACAGGNTATACAGGGTGTCCAGGAAAAGCGTACCATATCAAAGTTATGTTTTTTTAAATGGAACACCCTGTATTTTACTGCATTTTTGAAAGCACCGTAAAAAAATAGGTGAACTTTATTAAAGGTTCTGCATACCTAGGACTTACAGTCTGTGAGATATTTCAATTTTAGTGAAAATGCAGGCGTAGCGTAGAAATTTAATATTTGCAATAAAAAAATAATTTTATGGAAGCAGCTTTAGAGAATGTATTTTAGATCCTTGAAGTTATAAATTATTATACTTGTCGTCACTTAGTATTATAGAGGGTGTTCAAAAAACTGCTTACTTCTCTCAACTTTAAACAGCAATAACTTGGTTATTTTAAATGACACCCAGTATATTTTTACTTTGAGAGTTAGGAAATTTAAAACTCTTTCAAACTGTGTATAGATTCCCTATACCTATCTCTAACGGTATTGGAGATATTTGTGCCGTTTCTTTTTTTATCAAAGTTTTTTGTAAGATGTATCCACGTGTTTTTATCGAGGTCTTTATTGAATTAGTTTGGAGTCTTCTTGATGACGTCTCTTTAAATATATGGAGAAAAATGTGGATGCAATTAGATGGCGCACCTGCACATTTTTCATATACAATGAGAAATTATTTAAATCGAAAATTTAGTAATAAACAAATAGGTAGGAATGGTCCATGTTAGTGACTACCTAGGTGTCCAAACCTCCCGTAATGGACTTCTTTGTTTTGGGTTATATAAAAAATCTTGTACACGGTGTTCCACCTACTACTTGCGCTGATATGAAGGGAAGGGTTAGAGATGCATTTGCCATAATCACCCCAAATATTCCAATGAATGTGAGAATATCATTTGAAGATAGAATAAGATGCTGTATTCAAGAAAATAGTTATCAATTCGAACATCTATTAAAATTTTTCTGTTTCTTCTAAAAGTAAAATTTTCTTTAAAAAATATTTTTCATGTTCATAAATAATTCAGTTACTTACTACAAACATTTATACAAAATTAATAACTTTTTATAATTATTCTGCTTATAAAATATTATTTTTTATTAGAAAACTTTTTTAATATTGTCATGATATAACGATAAAAGGAAATTTTACTTTTAGAAGAAACAAAGAAAAATTTTAATTGATGTTCGAATTGATAACCATTCTCTTGAATACAGCATCTTATTCTTTCTTCAAAAGATATTCTCACGCAAATGCATCTCTAATCCTTCCCTTCAATATCATTGCAAGTAGTAGGTGGAACATTGTGTACAAGATTTTTTATATAGCTCACTACAAACAAGTCCATTCCGGTGAGGTCTGGACACCTACGTGGCCACTGACATGCACCATTCCTACTTATCTATTTATTACTAAATTTTTAAATAATTTCTCACTGAATATGAAAAATTTGCAGGTGTGCCATCTAATTGCATCCTCATTTTTCTAAATATATTTAAAGAGACGTCATCAAGAAGAACCCAAACCAATTCAATTAAAACCTCGATAAAGACACGTAGATATATCTTATAAAAAAAATTGATAAAAAACGAAACGGCACAAATATCTCCAATACCATCAGAGATAGGTGTAGGGAACCTATACACAGTTTGCAAGAGTTTTAAATTTCCTAACTCTCCAAAATAAAAATACACTGGGTGTCCCATTTAAAATAACCAAGTTATTGCTGTTTAAAGTTGAGAGAAGTATTCAGCAATGTTTTGAACACCCTGTATAATACTAAGTGACGACAAATATAACAATTTATAACTTCAAGGATCTAAAATAGACCTTACAAAGCTGCTTCCTTAAAATTATTTTTTTGCTAATATTAAATTTCTACGCTATGCCTGCATTTTCACTGAAATTGAAATATCACAAAATGGAAGTCCTAGGTATGCAGAACCTTTAATAAAGTTCACCTATTTTTTTACGGTGCCTTCAAAAATGCAGTAAAATACAGGGTGTTCCATTTAAAAATATATAACTTTGATATGGTTCGCTTTTCCTGGACACCCTGTATATTTCAAATTATTTTTAAAATGTAGCCGTAATCAACCCACCTAAACAGGTTTCTGTAACATTTGCCGTTTGGTCCCTTGCGACCGAGGCGTTACTGGTGGCCCACCCTGTAGAATGTGTTAGGAGTACAAGAAATCAGTGTTGCTGACAAGAATTGGTATTCTTTTTTATGGTTACAAATAAATTAGTAAAACCCCTTTCAGTTTTCAAAATAAAATTTTTCCATATTTCAAATTTAAAATTCTTAAAAGTGTAGCAGTTTTTTTTACTATTTTCATAACCCAGATAAAGAGCCTATTTTTTTTGTTAAAATTTGCATTTTTTTTCCGTACACTGGATAAGTGGGACAGTGAGGCTACACAGTTATTTGGAGTTATAAATTAGAAAAAACAGCTTCATATGGTTTACCTTATGCAACCATTATATCTGCGATTAGTGTTATGTAGGTTGCCTGAGTCTTGGCTGTCTCATTACTCATGCAAACAAAGGTTTTTGTAGTTTAAATGATTACAAGCCATGTGATAAGCACTTTTTTCCTTTGGGTTGGCAATTCAATTTTGGTAAAATTGTGCTGGTGATTAATATAAATTTCCACATTTTATTCTACTAATTGGCGATCGCATTATCTTGAGCATTTTTATTTAACAGCCAATCGTGCAATGTTGGTTGCCTAAGCTAAGCAGTCATGTGCTACGGTTTTTTCAACCCTGACGAAAAAAAAAATCGTTTGACTCTCGTAGCCTCTGAATTTTTCCGTTTCCAGGATATGTAAGATTCCTTTAGGACGTAAGTAAATCTCAGTATAAATTTCAATCTGTAACAGCCGTATTTGTGGGATCTCATTCTCAATTTGAATCTGTAACATTTGTAGAATCTTAAATTTTTTTTGTGAAATAACGCGATAGGTTAAAAAAGTAATAACTTTTAAAAATTTAGCAAAATAATATTAAAAATTTTAGGTCATTTTCAGTGATGAACTGGTCCACTGTAAAAATTCGTTTCCCGAATCTGAATCCGTATCTGTCGTCAGTCACATGATTAGGTAGAGACTTTGACTATATACACAGTGTATATAATCAATGGTAGAGATCACAGTATACTAATCAATTAGTATACTGTGGTAGAGATTATGTAGTCTTTTAGGCCGCTCATACAAATTTGGATGCCGTTTAATGACCCAAATTAAAGTTCAAGCAGTTGCCGTTGTAGCGTTGATGCACTAGACTATCTTCAGTCTAGAATGAAGTTCCTTAGAATTCCATGCGTTTACAAAACAAATTTGAGCATCTCCGAATTTAGTAAATATATGGTCGATGGGTGATATTAATAAAGCATTATACAGAGTGATTCCCGAATGAACCTACAAATGACTGAAGCCTGTTGGCTTTGTAAATAATCAATAAAATAAAACTTAGAAATGAAAACACTAGATGGCGACTATTCCATAAAATCTCTTATCGTCCTTCATACAGTAAATAAAGATAACTGGAATTTTAAGAGGTTTTTTCCCCAAACCGACTTCAACTCCGCGGTTGGGCAACTAAGAACATACATGCAATTTTGAGGAAAAAAATGTCAAATTGGGTTAGGTGTGTTATGTATCATCTATATCTATAATAAATAAACATTCATTAAATTGCTCATCTGAAAAGGGCGAAATGTATTTTATATTGGGAAAAAACTTGCGGGATGTTGTTATGGGTCACTTAGGAATGACTCATTCCTAAGTTCGACTGGCTGTCTAACTACTTCATTATACATAAAGCATAAAGCATTATGTTAGTGGATGTAGGAGACAGGAGACCCTAAAATATGACGTCTTTATCCATACCCTAAAGAAGCGGTAAAGCATGTTACTCCGTTTAGCCGCTAAAAATGACGCTAGAATTGCAAAAAATATTTTTTTCCAAATACCTTCAAAACGCTTTTTGTCATATAAATGAAATTTGGTGTGCTAGAGTAGTTTAAAGTGCCACTTTTTAATATAGAACATTACTTAGGTTCTATTGCATTTACAAAACTGTGAAAAATACCCTCAGCACTTCAGTTCATTTATTTTATCTTAAAGGTGACGATTGCTTGAAGTTTTATTTTCTCTTATGTTTCTAATAGTCGTCATGTAATTACCTAATTATTTTATTAATCATCACCAATGCATTTATACAACATTGGGATACGTATTTGAATCGACTGAAAACGTTGGCGATGCCAGTTTTACCTTACGTTTTACAGTTTGTCCAGTGGCGGCTGGTGTGGGAGGGCTCTGGGGTGGCGACCTTCCTAGGAATTTTCGTAGTAAAGAAATTAACTTAAAATTTAGTTTATAATGTTATCTCGATAATTAAACAGATTAGCATTATGAAATACATTAAAAAGGAAATTTTTAAATTTATAATGTGCAGTCAAATCAACTCGATTTGAAACATTCGTTTGAAAAACTCTGAATACACGGGCTCCACGTAGCTTGTTTCTGTATCTGTAAAGTGTTTACAGCGGTGGTCATGGTTACCGTCGTGCAGTAGTGAAAGACGGAGTAGGAGCGGCTCACATTTACTATGCGGTTTGGGCTTTTTTAGTCCGACCGTAACCAAATCGTAGCTATTCAAGGCTTTTTTTCTTATTAAACGTAATTTGTTCAGGTGTGGTGTAAAATTTTGTCTACTAACAGTAAAGCTATCAATGGAAAAATCAATGGTGCGGGAAATACCAAATTTTAATGGAAAAGTAATCTACAAGTTTATTTCGAACAAATGCAGGAGAATGGACTTTCACTATAAAAAATATTGTTAAACACATTTTTCCCCTAGTCCAATAGTACTTGAAATAAAACTACCCAATTATATTTAATTTTCTTTTTTTTTCAATGTTTTGTACCTACATTTTTCCACCCTCCCTAGTTGGAAGTTAAGAGACGTCACTGAGTTGGTCAGAAAAAGAGGAAAAATAAAACGAAGCATGTAATCATAATTTTACAGGTTGTACAACTTAAAGGATTAAATTTCTGTGGATGCCAGTCTTAGTATGTACATCGGGTGCTGTAAGAATTCAAATTTATCCTTTCACTACCCGTCTGTGTATGTAAAATCGTTTTTTCAAATTTTCCACTTTAGGGAAGTATTCAAATAATTTTTCAAAAAAATTGTAATGATATTTGTGGTGTTAGCAAAATAATTTTTATTAAACTTGACATATGATTTTGTAACACCAATAAGGAAAACCCCTTTTATAATACAGATTATATCAGCAAACCTTTCTTATTGGCCGATTTCCCTCTGTGCTATAGTGCTAGTAAAAAAGTGTCAGTTTAGGGCCTATTTTATTTGTGTTCATACTGTTAATAGGTACAATGGTATACATGTTTCCATATTGCACATTGAAATTTAAATAAAAAAAGAAAATATGTACAAAGTTTTAGGTATATATACAAATCACTAACAGCGACAAGTAAAAAATTACTGGCCATTAATATTATCTGCAGTCAAAGCCATCGACGTTAACGCACTCCTTCTTCCAGGAGTCACACCGAGGTTTTCCCAGTTAATCCATGAGAGACGGGCTGTTAAATCTGAAAGAAAAATCTGATTTAAAGTCGATATATTGAACAGAACAGTTTATGTTTAATTGTAGTAGGTACCTAATAATAACCTTTATTTACAAAGTAATCATCAAAATTCTCATGTTTAAAAATTATTTATGTATATTTTTTTAAATCAAATATTGATATAATAATAAAATTGACTATAAGTAAGTAGTACGCAAACTAGTAATTAACCACTGTTTAAAATAAAAATAATCTTTCTATATAGTACTGATACTGATGTTGTAAACGTTCAAAGAAATTAACTTTGGACAATGATGAGCATGCAATTATCGACGGTAGCTAACTTATTCCTGCATTTTTAAGATTCCGTTTCCAATATTTTTGTTAATATTCGCAGATTTATTAATATTCCAGGTTAAATTTCTTTGAAAATTTACAACAATAGTTAGTTAATGAATTCGGTATGTCAGGGATCTGTTTTCTGGTTAGTAATTAACTTGATTGTTTTTATTTTAGTTAGTTTAGTTAACTTATAAGTTGATTCATTTCATTAGTACACCAAGTTTGATATCTTATGTGATGTGACTTCATTTCATCAGAATTTTAAAACTGATTTGAATTAATAATAGTAAAAACCTTTATTCAAGTAAAGTAAAAATAATTTTTCCAATTTATTACTTTTGGAAGCTCGATATGCATGAGATTTGACTTTTTTGACTCGTTCAACTGTTATGTTTAGTAAAATTTATTATGAATGCAAGGATTTTAAAAATAAAGGCTGTTTCATGTTCGAACGACATTCGCAGTTTTTTTATTAATAAAAAAAAAATGAAGGCCACAAATTCCGGTAAAAATTAAAATAACTTCAACTTTTCCACAAATTTCCTTGATTTGTGACATCAGAATTAGTATGAAAATATACAATTGTTCCAAAAATCTATCGAGTTTACTGCTATTATCTAGTTAGTTAGTTATTAGTTTTTAAATATTAGTAGTAGTAGTAGTAGTTAACGATAAATAAAATTTAAAAATTAGTTCGAACGAAACGTTAAAATCGAATTTATAATCTAAAAAAGTATTGAAGTATATGAGGAACAAGATCTTATAAATCTGGTGTTAAAAATACAATTGGCGTAGTTTGCATTCTTATGAATCTTTATAATAAATGTCAAAGAAAATGTTTGCAGTTTATAAAATACGGTCACCATAGGACCAAAATTGCAAGTATTTGTATCCAATGGCGCCAATGAACAAATTTTCGAACAAAATCGCAATTAGTGTGACCGCCGCCTAATATTTTTCTCGCATCATACCGCTCGTGTTCCAGTTGGCCCTGTCCGCCTTGATCTCTCCCCTGAGGCACCTCTCCACGTAGGTCAGGGGGTCGCAGTCGGCCGTGAGCACCTCCCTGAGGAGGGCGATGTAGGCGATGGCCAGGCGGAGGGTGTCGATCTTGCTGAGGCGTTTCTCGTAAGGGAAGGTCGGCACGTGCATACGAAGTTCGTCGAACGCAGAGTTTATACTGCTGCAAACCAAAATTAATTAGGAAAATTAGGGATGTTCGGGGGTGTGTTCGTATTAGACATGGGCGTTGAAAGAAATGAGTCCGTGAGTTATATAATGGAAAGTTTAATGGAATTAAGTCTTTGTCTAAAATAGACAAACAAAAAAACTTGGTTACTTCCTTTTTTGTAAGTTATACGCATAAGAAGTCCAATTTGTTTAGTTTCTTTGTGAACCACATACCTATATTATACAGGGTGTTGTCGAAAATAAGGTTATAGCTAAAATAACAAAAGTTTAAATTATATTTTCGAAATGTAACCAGTAAATAGTTTTTTATACAGGGTGTTCCACCTGAGAGGGATTCTTCTGCACCACTGTAACTATAAAATTTATAAAAAAATTGGTATTAATAAAAGTTGTCTGGAATAGTGCGGGACATATGAAGAAGATATTTTTAGCTTTACGGTGGGGAGGGGGAGTGGGGGGGGGGGTTGTTCCATTTCGCGTGGGTGATACATAACTTTGTTATTTTAAATGGAACACCTTGTATATTATTGCGTTTTTGAATTCCTTGGTTAATATTGGGTAGAGTTTATTAAATGTATATGCATGGTGTTTAAAACTAACTTACCGTTTTCGAGATAATCAATTGTTTTTGAAAAAAATCACTATTCCGGCTCTCGAAAAGAGGCTAGATAACGTCTAAATCGTTAAGAGTTAGAAACCTGCAATTTTCACAGATTGTTTTGGCATAAATTACTCTATCTTGTCATCTGCGAGCAAAACGTGTACGTTATTCAGACTCGGAAATACTGAGACCTACATTTAATAATCTTACGAGTTGAAAAACTTTTTTTCAAATGGTATGGTATGATCAAAACAACTGAATATTCGAAAACGATTTTAAACACCATAATATATAACACCAATAAACTCTACTTAATATTACCAAGGAATTCAAAAATGCAATAATATACAGGGTATTCCATTTAAAATAACAAAGTTATGTAGCGCCCACGCGTAATGGAACACCCTGTAAAGCTCAAAATATTTTCTCTACACAGCCCACATGATTCCATGCAACTTTTATTAAAACCATTTTTTGTAAATTTTAAAATTGCAGAGTTACAGAAGAATCCCTCTTAGGTGGAACACCCTGTATATTTATTTGAAATTGCAAGAAAATTTCCTAAGGCTGTGGTCTTTAACATTTTTCTAAATGGAAAGGTAAAAAATGGGAGTAGAATGCTATGTGAATGATTCTTTATATTTGGAGGTGTATAGTAGGATTGTATTCGATGCAAAGTAGAGCAAAAAAATTGTCGGCCTTTTATCAAAGGAAAATCGTGTCAGCATTTTTAGGAGGCGTAAGATGAACCATTTCAAATTTAAAATGAAATTGAATGTAAAATCTGAAATACCGCTGCATACGCACTGTGTTCTGGTANATGAAAACTCTAACAACAATTCTCTATCAATCTCAACAAAATAAGTTATTTTTCTATCAAACAAGAAATATTAACAAATTATAAACAAAATATAAATTCTATGATTTATATACTGTACGCCGAACTGCATTTTTCTCATCTTCATTTAATATTAATTCCTTCTTTCCACCCCCTTTTTTAGGTTTCTCAACATCTCCTTCATTTTTCCTCCCGCTTAAAATTTTGAAAACAGATGATTCGCTTACTCCAGTATATCTGGAACACATTTCCACCAAACCAGTCTTCAGTTTCATGGGATGATCCTTTTTTAATATTATCGTTTTTTCTCTATAACTTAATACATATTTTTTTGTACCCACAGCAGTACATCCGGCTTGCGAAAACTTCACTTCACTAGCACAGAAAATATAATATCATTCACGATTCACAAACAACAGCCCGAAACACACACACAGCACACAAATAAAACACTAAAAACACTTTTGTTACGGAGCACAAGAAATATGATTTCACTCACAAATTCTCAAATAATAGCGCGAAACACACATACAGCCCGAACGAAGTATAATTGCACTTATAACAGTTATAACCTCACAAATATCGCGAGCGAGAAACACGCAGCACCAATACCTACAACCGAAACGAAACTAACCACGCCGGGCCGACACGCGCGCCGCCGCAACAAACACAAGACACAAGTCATATGAGGGAGGATGAAGGGAGTAATAAATGTATTGTTGTCCTGCCGCCCAATGTGCGAAGGAGATGCCTTTGTTTTTCATTTTATCCTTCATAATTATATGACTTAATCCATAATGCATAAAGAAATTATTCAATTTCGAAAACCCCCTAAAACGTGTTGCACTGATTGCCTTGACAGGCAATGATTTATTACTTTGCATCGAATATGATCCTACTATAGTTATATTTTCTTTTTTTTTCGTTGCCAAATTTCCTATCGTTTTATCTTTCATATAAAATATCTGTCATATAAACAGATATACAGGGTGATTCGTAAATCAACTTACACAGGACAGATGCGGATAGAGAATTCTAAAATATAGAGTTCTAACGCAACCTACCAAATTGTTACGTTTAGCCGCTAGATGGTGTTAAAGTTGAAAAAATAATAATTAAGTTTCTTCAAAATAGCTATGTCAAAAAATGTACCTAATGTATACACAAATATTAGCGAACTAAATCTCATTTAAATCGGAGTTGTTTGGGAAAACCTATTTTTTGCCTACTTTAACGCCATCTAGCAGCTAAACGAAGCAACTTAGTATAGCGGTAAGTTATTTTGAAACGCGATATTTTATCGTTCTCTACACCCATCTGTCTTGTGTCGGTTAATTTTCGACTGGCCCTGTGTACCAAAAGAAAAAAATATGGGGTTCTACATAATGAAATAATTTTGCAATAACTCAACCTATAGACATTAAACATGCAATTTTTATTTTATAGTGATCTTTTTTAAACTACTGTTAACTATGAATCACTTCGACGATTAAAACCATAAATCATGCTTAATAAAACAAAAATCACCTAAAACTCGACTAGCAAAAAGAAAAAACAGGCACATATCAAGACAGGTGTACCCGGTGGGTCCAATAGCAGACCTCAGCATCCTTTTCCGTTCCCTTATGTTGGCAGCGTGTCTCTGCACCCTGTAGGGGGAAGATCCGTAGTAATCCGAGTTGGACAGTGCGCCACCACACTGGCTGTCTGAAACGATCATCAGATTTAATCTATTTTTTTCAGAATACTCCAATTTCCAGCACTAATAGATACGAAAAATATTATTGTACCTATTTGGCTCAAAAGACAAAACATGAAAGAGGCACGTAACTCGTCGTTTGAAATTGGATGGGCCCAAGGGGGGGTATTATATTTCCTGCGAGTCACAATATGCGAAACTAACTTCCCAAAAAAATACGTCTTACGCCATAAGCTGATCTTTCCTAAATCATTCGGGTGGGCCAACATATTTTTAGAGGCCCACCCATAGATACGTGCCTGTTAGATTATACTCTATAGATTATTCAGAATAAATAAATTCCAATAGAACTATAAAGCAGTGGTGGCTCGTCGTATAAAGCAACTGAGTCCGGGGCTCACTATAAAATTTGTCTCTCAAACCGTGTATTTTAATACCTACTATTCTACTATTAACCTAAATAAACAGTTAGGTAAACTAATTTCCAATTAGTCCCCACCACAGTGAGGCCAGAATTTCTTTGCTTGTAGGGACGTCACCCTTGTGTAAAATATACTACAGTTCCCCCTCTACACGAGGCGGTTAAAATAACGTGATTTACGAGAGAACTGAGGCCCACTCAAAACTGCTTTCAGCCTTTGAATTCGCGGTTAATGCACGCGTCGCATAGTACGCTGGTAGTGTCGTCTGATGTCAGTATGAGGGATAGTACAAAGGTTTTAAGGATAAGGACAAGGCAAGCATTAATTTAAAGTAAATAAAAAACAACTTCCTCAAAAAAACAAAGTAACTGAATTTAACGTAATTTAATAGATACCTATTATATTATCAAATACCTACAAAGGCAGCTAATAATGAATCTATCTCACAATATTGTTTTATCTCTTGAAACACCTTTTTTCAAGACGTAAGCGTCTTACGTAAGACGTAAGACGCAAACTAGTGCTCTAAACAAATTAAAATCACTGGTCAAAGAATTTCTGAATTAAGAAACGAAGAAAAATTTAAAAATATTTTTAATAATGCGAAAAATATTACTGGACTATCAAGTAAACGGGGCAAAAGTTGCGACGAACTAGAAATATTTTCGAAATATATTTCCCTCGTTTTATGAATTTACATGATTTAATTTTTTTTGCTTTAATAGATTCCTAAAAATTTCCCGAATATGCAAACAAGTTTCCCGAAAAATCGTTTGAATGTTTATTACAAATGTACCCAAACGTTTTTGAAATAAATAGGTTGAAAAACGAACTTAATATTTTGTACAGAGACGAACAATTTCGTAATTTAGAAATTCAAAAACCTATAGAAATATTATACAAGGAATTTAAAATGGTATTTCCGGAAACATACAAATTGTTTTGCCCAGTTCTAACAATTCCTGCAACAAGTGTCTCGGTAGAAAGAAACTTTTTGTGTCTTAAGCGCATTCAGACTTAGAAATACGATAACACAAGAGCGCTTAAACAACTTATCAGTGATGATAATAGAAAAAGAACTATTGCAACTAGTGCCGATCCTCAATTTTATGAAGATAATAATCTAAGTAAATTTACAAATTTAAAAGACGGACGAATAAAGCTGGCGGTGTTGTTTATATGTAAATAGGTAAGTTGGCTACCTTATGAAAATTTGTTTTTACATTTTTTCATATTTTTTTATATTCATAAATCAAGTAGGAACAATTTTGTTAATTATTAGGTAAATATATCACTTCGTTTTTTTTCTGTTAGTCAATTTTATTAATAAATATAATAAAAATAGAATTTTTTACTTTACGGTTATAGTAGGGCTATTGGCGAAGATCTCCAAAATAAAAAATGACGTGCGAAATTTATTCCTATTTATTATTTGAGAGCGAATTAATAAAATATTCAAATTGTTGCGAATAATTTTTTATAAAATAAATATGAATGAAAATCCTGCTCGTGAACATCAGTTTCACAATGTAACGAGCCGTCACTGCTATAAAGATCCAAATGCAAGGGGAACCGAAGCCGGGTACACATATTTTCATCCAAGGAAAACCATTTTTCAAGATATTTACAGAGATATTATTATTTTTTAAGGAACATTTTGAGAACCATTGTTCACATAGAACGTTGATTTTTTCATGTGCAGTGACGAATATTGAGTTTGCCACGTCATATGTTTTAGTTTTGTACTGCAAGTTAAATCTAAGACTACTATACTGTAAGGAAAGGATTCTGGTTTCAAAAATAGTAACCGATTGAGTGAATTTAATATATGCAGTAATCTTAAATCAAAGTTTAACTTTATGGTAAAAAACACGTTATAGTATATTACGTAATAAGTGTTGTAAAAAGCATTTTACGCACGAATGGAAAAGTTACGCACGACGCCGCGTAGCGACGAATGGAAAAGTTACGCACGACGTCGCGTAGCGGCGAGTGCGTAATTCTATGAGTGCGTAATTGCATTACACCACGTATTACGTACTATACTTTACCTACGACCACTACTGTAAATACTTAAAAACACATCGTCTGCGATCAATGCAAGATTCCTATTACGTCGTACGGTAAAAAAAACGCACAGCTTGGTAAAAAAATCGTACAGTTTTCCTAGCAACCGTCTAGCAACGGTCAATACAAACAGTATTGTATTGGCCGTTGCTAGGCGGTTGCTAGGAAAACTGTGCGATTTTTTTACTGTGCGTAATAGGAATCTTACATTGATCGCAGACGGTGTGTTTTTAAGTATTTACAGTAGTGGTCGTAGGTAAAAACATTAATTTCCATAAGTCAAACAATGTCATAATAGTAAATAGTTAGATACTATAAAATACATTTAGCTAACAATCAATCGAGCTAAAGTTTGTTACAATCTTTCCATCCACATGAACCCAACTCATAGTCCTAATACACTACAAGTAGCTAATTAATTTAGTACATGAAACTGCCAGTTGAAAAACACAAAAATAAATAGAAAACAGTAAAAAATAACTTCTAACATAGCACCGTTCAAATTAATTCAAAAAATTTATTGTATTACACAAATATAACTGATATTTGAATAACAGAATTTGAATATTGTCGAAAATCAGTAGATAGCATATTTTCAAGCAATTCATCAGGAAAATCAACGTTTAGCATCGGTCATGAATCATTTTATTTAAAACCAATTTAGTATGCAAATAATTCTGAACTATACTGAAAATTTTTATTTTATTTTTTCATACTGAACAAAACTAAATTTTATGTGGTATACAGTGTGACCAATTTGTTTTTAAGCGACCATGTAAAATATTTATTTATTGTGCGATTTTAACCAGATTTTTTTTAAGATGTAGAACTTGATGAAGTGTGCTTTGTGAAGGAAATTGAGCGTGATCCCACAAAATTCAAAGCGTACTATGTTACACCCATTTTTAGGAGTAAAATTCTAATATTCATATTAGGGGCGAGCAGGGGTGTGGAAGACCCACCCTAGACAACCCAGTGCCCTACACACAAAAAAAGGATGCAATAATATCATCTTTCTCATATCGGCAAGTCTTTAACTGCGCCACCTTTTTTTAGAATCAAACTAAAGAGAGTTTTGAAATATTATGTCAGGAAGTCGTTGATTGCCAGTTTTCTTTCTTTTTTTTTTTAGGTCTCCATAGAACATGCAGCAACCCTGACCACCACTGGATTCACGATCCCCCAAAGCGGGCCAATAGCAAATTTTATCAAAAATTTTTAGATAATAACGAGTTTGTAGGCAAATAAAAAATTCACGGGTCTTTACTTTTTTCCATTAATTTATTGTTAATATCAAGTTGTCTATGAAGTAAAAAAAAGAGGTAGTTAACTAATTGTCAAAAGTGACAAATTATTGTGTAGTAAAGAGTAAAGTTTATCTCGTGTTAATAACCATGGAAAATATACTACTATTAAGAGACAAAATAAAAATTGTGCACTTGTTGGCGATAATGTGTGTTCGGCAAAAATGCTGCAATAGAATTTAATACTACTTAGGCTCCCAGACAGATGAGTTAGTTGGAGTAGTGTACTGTATATTAATAAAGTTTTCAATGAAACAGGCTATGTTTCAAAAATATTTACTCAAAACTAGAGATAATGGACGTTGTCGAATATTGAGAAATAACCAAATTTTACAATATTTTAATATTATTTCCCTGCTAGTATTAGAGTAGCTAGTTTACATTTTACTATCCCTAGAGAAAGTATCAGAAGGTGCGTAGCAAAAAATAAAATAAAAGCATTTAAGACGTTTGGAGTTTTGCTATTGGCCACAAGGAGAATATTTAAATAATCTTAAATTTTTAAGTGGCTTAAAAACAAATGGTTTACACTGTATATTATATACATTATAGGATCACGTATCTTAAATTTCTATGATCACTAAAAATTTCTGTCGCGTATAACGTAAAAACAATTTGTATTCAATTACTTGCTCATATAAACATTTTAAAACCGTGTACAGTTGATCTTATCTCCCTTTCAGAATGAGTGACTTATGTTACGCGTAAATACCACAGTGTATTCAGCGGTTCTCAACAAGTTTTCTATTAAAAATTCGTAAATATTTGTTTTATTCTATACACATCAAAAATTCACTTTTTAGTGATCTGAAGGATACAATTTTCCTTTCTCTTAAGTTATCTTAAATAAGATACACAATCATGTTTCAAAAAACGCCTACCTGCATTATGATGTAGCGACGTGAGATAATGATGCTGAATCCCAGAATTCGACGTGGGTCTTGACGCAAAAGCACAGCTCGGCAAATCCGAGACCTCATCTTCCGAGATATCTCCTGCACTATATCCAAATTGTAAGCTTAAATAATGAGGAAAAATGCGTTACACATAGGGAAGACATTCAACAGTAGGATCTAGAATTACAGTGCTGTACAAGATAAGTTAGTGCAAGGGTCATCAGTGAAGACATTGTTGCATTACCGGTGGACACTGGTTTTAAAATTATTATTAAAAACCAAGCGGCATCCAAACAGCAGAAGAATTTATGACGAGCAAACAGATGTGTCCATTATAATAGAGACGCTTGAAATTTGATATATAAAAGTTCTTCCAACTGAAAAGATCATGCTTATTTTACACTTAAGTACTTCTAAATCTTTTTGCAGTTAATAATTTTTTTCTTAATACCTAAGTTTAGGTACTATAAAGTTCCTTAGAGATATTGGACATTTTATTGCTCTATGCTTTTTGTTTTGTTTGATGAGTAAATACATATTAGAGGTAATGACATCTTATACATTTTTATTTACTAATTTAAGTATCTGGTGCATTTAAGAGCATGCGATCATTCTTTAAATGTGAACAATCATGAACCATGCAAGTGCAAAGTGCCAGTTCAAATTTTCCCATATACCTATCATATTTGTACCAAATAAGGCTATAAACTCGTCATATTTTTAAATGAAGCTTCTACAGCTTGACCAAATTTTCCGCAAGTTTTAGATGCGCTGTAGTAACATTACCAGACTAGCACCGGAGCTCATTCTTTGTCTGAATGTAGAATTCAAACCATTTGTAAAAGTGTTAAGTGCACAAAGCCGTAAAATTATACATAATAATTAACTTCTTTAGGAAAAGTTGAAGAAAGAGTTGCAAAGGCAGTTGGCAATATCATGAGTACAGTGATAATAACTATAAAAAATAATTAAAAGCATATTTCGACTACTCCAATCGAGTAGTGCTATGAAGGATCTTTCAAAATTGGTATGTTGAGGAAAACGACATCCACACTTAGGAGTAACCATAAAAAGTTTCATGAAGGTGGCAGGAAAAATCTTCGTAAGTTTTTGCACATCATAGGATGCCGATGGTGCAAAATAAAGACCAACCAAGGACTATTAATGGAACGCTATGACATCCAAGAAGTCTTGAGGTTATAATTTTTAAGAAGAATGAAACAATATAATGAAGAAGGTCGACCAATTGTTTATATGCATGAGACAAGGCTCCGAGAACCTGTATCAAAGGAATAAAGTTTAGTTATGGCTCATGCTAGATGGGAAAATGGTTTTACACCTAACACCAAACTAATTTTTAAGTCGGGGGAATATCTTGATGTCATACTCAAAATTACAAAAAATCGTTACTAACGAAACTTATACCAAATTTGTCGTCATATTTTATATTAGTGATTGGCAATGCATCATATCACAATGTGTAAGCTGGAAAAATGCTCTACATCCCCTTGTCGAAAGGACGAAATGCAACGGTTATAAGAGAGATATAGGAATTCAATTTGCGGATGATATGTTAAAACTAGAGTTATACAATAATGCAAAAATAAAAAAGGCAACATTTAAAATATATAAAATCGGCCAAATTTTACGGAGAGTTCATACTATCCTGAGACTACCACTATACCATCCTGACTTGAATCTTATCGAACTTGTTTGATCGTCAATCAAACAATATGTCGCCAGAAAAAATGTTACACTTTCACATTGACACACGTGGAAAAGTTGTGCAATTAATTTTTCGACACATTTACACCAAAAGAATGCCAAGAAAATTGAAAGAGAATTAATGATTTTAGAACTTGACTACAGAATTATTATAAACCTTCAAGATTATGACGATTCTAATAGTGCAGATAACATTTTTAGTTCTGATACTAACGAATGTGAAAATGAACAAGAAGACATTTAACTACCTATTGTTTTTCTTTTGCTTATGAATTACATTTACCTACACCAGAAACTATAATAAATATTATTTTTTTCAAATTTGTAGTGTACTGTATATTAATAAAGTTTTCAATGAAACAGGCTATGTTTCAAAAATATTTACTCAAAACTAGAGATAATGGACGAATTTGTTACTACAACTACCTATGTTCAGAGTGTTGTACCAATTGGCAATTTTAGAATGCAATTATATTACCTGTTAAAAATTAGATATATTTTATTGTCCATCATTATTATATTTACCAGACCTAAATACAATTTTTGTATCACTATTAAGGACTGCTGTATTTAAAAACTCTCTTCTTGATCTCGCGCACAAGATGGGTTTGGCCAAACAGTAAGTGATTTTTTCCAAGTTTATGCCCACGGATTTTTCTTTAGCAAATCGTTATGCATACGTCATATTAAGTTTTAATTATTTTTCTTTGCTTTTTTTCTATAACCATACTGCTGGTGATGTAGATTTTTTAAGACGCCTAGTATATGAAAAAAACTGTTTTGTTCGCGACGGAGATAAAACCTTAGGCAGATATATGCGTACTTAATGCTTTTAAAATACACCCAAGAGAAATCTGTTGGAACAAGTTTAAGTGTGGGTGAGTTATAACCTTCAACGTATGTTATATTATCTTAATTATCACTGCCTACTGGCACAAAGTATTACTTTGTGTCTACTAGCAGATAATGTCCTGCCAATCTGTACGTATTATGAAAGAACTAATGTCGCACTAGGCGAAATTAGTTTTTAACTAATGATATTGCAGTAAATAACTTCTCTGCGGACTATATAGCTCGGTCCAGCTTGTTTACTTGATATTACGGGTACCTACAATCAAAGCTGTAGTGCGCAGAGTGGTTGTTTCCCTTAATATCATTAATTAAATTTGAATTAGTCTTTTTTCTCTAAAATCTATCGTTAAAATGAAATTCGATTTCAAATTTTCATTAATAAAGGACAAAGTACCTATTTTTTATACCGAAATTGAGCTTTAAATTTTTAATATAAGAGTATAATTACTAAAACCTTAATATCACCAATATCTATATGGTTCAGGTACCTGCGTTATTCTTGTTTTATTAACCATTAAAGAAATTATTAACTTGATCTCTGCTTTGTCCAAACTCAATGGCATATACAGGGTGTTATTAAAATAAATCTTATTACAATGAAACAATGAGAGTCATTCAAGTTATTATTGACAGAATCTTGTTGAGATTTAAATATTTGCATGCTCCGTAGAATAGTAAGAAGTGTGCCTTGCGCTTATATTGTGCAGAAAACATTGCAAATATAAAAAAATAGTTTTATAATTACTTTGGTGGGGACGATGAAGAGTCTGGCAACTGATGGTGTCCGCGGTTGGTCATCTTCTTGTATCGCTTTTTCAAAATCACTGCTGGAGCTATATTGACCACTTTATTGAAATACACTAGTGGTGAAATCACTTTAATAACACTGTCACTAATACGACAACCAGACTAATAGAATTATTTCTAAATGATGTCAAATCCCCGCGGATTTGCTTTTATATACTGGTGTATCTAGTCGTCCTAAGGCAAGGGTTACAACCGAAAACAACTCTTATTTATCGGGGATGTATAACCTAAAATCCCTAACAGGTTTGTATGTACTTTAAGGGTACTTTGCATTCCATCCTTTCTGTTCTCTTGCTTTGGGGCGAATATCCTTTATTTCTCGACTGGTCCGTATTGATTTAAGGGTAGCGCCACCCTTAGACGAGCCAATAGCGGCACGGCGTTTGATTGACTTTGCGACGTCGACTTTGGATTGGCTGAAAGGTTTGTTGTCTTAAGATACGACGTTTTAAGGGTCATTTAAGCTGCCTGCGATTTATTTGAAGTATATCTGGTCTTGACAGGGTTTGGGCGAAATGGACGGCCATCATTTGCAGATATTTGTAGTTTATTGGGCAGGAAACTTAGTGCGGGTGGTTTATGGAAGTTTTGAATCATTTTTGGTCGGGGGTATTTGGTTAATTACAATTTTATTATTATAATTGAAGATTGAAGAATAACAAAACTACAGAAATAAAACAAAATCTAAATTTTAAATACTACATAGTAGAAGTTAAAGTTATAGCTTCCCTTCTTTTTTTGGAAAGCCTGATTGGTCAGTTCAAAAATGATTCGTTCCCTGTTATTTCTACAAGTTGGACCAAGGTCAATTATTGAGCCTCTATTATTGTTTGTCTTTTTGCGCAATTTTACGTCTTATTTGTTCATTCAAATATTAAATTACAAATATTAAAATACAAGATTTTAAACTTTTGTATAACTTAAGTTACGAAACTAACAGTACTGAAATTGTTATTTGTGATCATAGTAGAATGTAGAGCAAGTTCGCTGATTATTTCTGCGCATGAGCACAATCGGAAAAAGTTTATATCATATTTAAAATATTTTTCTGTAAAAATAATATTTTTTGCCTTTGAAGTCTTAGCAGTGTTATAATTCCCTATACTAAGGTCACATCAAGCGCTATGGTAGCTGCATCTGCTATGTATATTTTGATATACAGGGTGTCCCGAATTACACACGCCATAGTTTGCTTGAAGATTGAAGACCTCAAAATAAGGGAAAATGTGTATATGGCCATTCATTTCGAGATACATTATTTAAATGTCTCTTAAAATATGTATTTGAAACTTAGAGTAAAGACTTAATTAATTATGGACAAAAATTTACTGAGTTGATACATCCTATACATATCTGGCAACCAGCAGTAGTGATGCTTGAAACAACGTCACTAAGAACCCCAGAATTTCAGGTTCAAATATTTTGAAAATTGGATAAGTGCACTTATTTCCGCTTGGTGTTTCAAACAAATATGACTTGAATTTTATTTGAAAAAAAACGAGCCATTTGAGTAATTAATATTATTTTAATTTAAAAGAACATACATAATTGAATAATTAGAAAATAGGTAATTCCAAAACTGTTTGGTTCACAAAAAAAATTATATGCATTTTTGTATCCAAAACTAAAAAAAATCATTGACAGGAATAATTGTTACGGGGTTTCTCCCTCAGAAAATTTACAATTCTTATGCCACTGCTCGGAAGTTATTTCATGAAGTACACAACATGCCCTACCCAGTTTAGACACATCATCTAAAGCCACATCTAACAGATTTAAACAGTTACTTTATATTACACGGTCGATAGCCGCACGGTTTAAGGCGTCAGTACTTAAATCGATGTGTCGATCTACCCGGGTTTCGAATCCCTCGGCCGGTAGACCGTAGATTAGCTATGCTATGTCAATGTGAGAGATTGACACCGGTTGGCATTTGACCGCTCCCCTAATTAATGAGGTTTTCCAGGTTTCCCTCATTCCTGCACTGAATGGTGGTTAGGGCCTACCAACATAAGTCGTTCCTGGGCGCAAATGCGGCCTGCGTAATAATAATATGCCGCCTCCTCTCCCGCACAAGTCTCTGACTTCTGGGCTAATTCTTGTAATTAGAATGAGGAGTAGAGATATTATTATTAGAGATATTATTATTAGCTCGATTTGTGAAAATATACAGTTTTTTAGTTTTGTTGCCATTCACTTTGAGTTTATTACTAACTAGTAAACCATTTATTAGCCTGTTTTTCTAAATAAAAAATTATTATTAATAAAATACATCTGACATACTACAAAAAATAGTGGATACCTACCCAAACTACTTATTAAAAAATGACATTATTTACACATTTGAAAATGTTAAAATAAATTGGTCTGGCTAAACCTTGACAAATCTTCTTCTTCAAATATATTTTTTACCTCCAAATTGCTCTTTCTATGCACACTCATGCAAAGCCGATTTAGTCAAATTTCAGGCGTTTTTAGGTACTGAAATCTTGAAAAGTAAAACGTGTAGAACAAAAGTAAGCACAAAAATAAAATCCTTGATGTTCTGTTTATTCATTGTTACTATTTAAATTTACTCAAATAAAATAATAACTCAAAAAGAGTATTTGTAAACATGCGTTTGCTGTTATCCTAACCCCACATTTTAAGAATTATTTTCACATACATTTATAAATAAAAGTAAACAATATATATATGTGTAAGACTAAGCAAGTAAATGTTATAAGAATATTTACATGTGGAGTTATATATAAAAAGTTAGTATTTTCGTAGATTTCAGTACCTAAAACCTTGATGGTTTGATCGTTTTTTGCACCTGTTTATTCGTTTTACTGCGGCGTCTTTGAAAATACTCAGGTGGCATGACATAACATTCCTATTATTTGATAAGCTTTAGATTATTCAGTTATTAAATGTTTGAAATTATTTGTCTTTGCGGAAAACACTATTTAAAGAATATGGGGCCCTTAAG